TTTGGAAATATATTCTCATTTAGTTATTCAACAAACATAGTAGAACATTTGTTATGGACATAGTGCTATATTGGGAGCTTTGAAAATACAGATATAAAAAAGGTTTCCCACATGACTAGATCCAGAGAAAGAAGAGTAATGGATCATTTCTTTGTACACTTCTGTCTTAACAAAAAGGGAACTATACCTAGATTTTCCTACAGACTTTCACCCACGTTAAGCTGGCTCATAGGCAACCTATCCTAGACTAGTCACTGGCAAGGAAAATGTGATTAACATGATTTATGTATAGATAAACCTTATGCAGAGAAACTATGTTGGGGAGCTAACCCTGACAATCACTGGAAGCACGGCGTTGTTGTTGTTAAGTGCTATCAAGTCAGTTCTGACTCATAGTGTCCCTGTAAACAGGGTTGCTGAGTTTGAACTGCCAACCTTTCTGTTCAACCCAACCTTGTAGTTGATACCAGGACACAATAGGAAATTTCATTGCCTTAGATCTTCTCTCATATTCTCACATTGTTAAAATTTCATTTAATTGATCCTCTTCAGTTGTGAAGTGCCAAACTTATGATCTCTACTGCAAAAAGAGTTCAAGTAGTATGGTTGTTGTTGTTGATGGGTGCTGTCCAGTCAGTTCCTACTCATAGCAACCATGTATAGGATTTCCAAGACTGTAAATCTTTACAGAGGACTCCTGGCATGGCACTATAGGGTTAGCACTGGACTGAGAACCACATGGCTGGTAGTTCAAACCCACCAACTGATCCTTGGAAACCCTATATAGGGTTGCTGTGAGTCAGAACCAACTTGAGAGCACTTAACAGCAGCAACAAAAAATATTTACAGGAGAGAAAGCCTCATCTGTGGATTCGAACTGCTGACCCTGGGGTTAATAGCCCAACACATAACCCACTATGCCACCAGGGCTAATGCATGGAGAAGCCTATATTACACTTGTTCCAAATGTGTGTATTTTGAGCTTCCTGACCCTTTGTTCTGTGTCACTGTGACCCTAAAATCTCAGGAGTGAGACTTCTGCCGTTTCCCTTTGGGGCTAAAACCTGTCTATATTCCTAGCAACTACCACTTATTGATGTTAAGTGCCAGGTGAGTTGGTTCCGACTCAGAGTGACCCTGTTGTTGTTGTTGTTGTTAAGTACCGTGGAGTTAGTTCCGACTGATAGTGACCCTGCACAGGGTTTCCAAGGCTGTAAATTGTTACGGGAGCAGAAAGTCTCATCTTTCTCCCGCAGAACAGCTGGCAGTTTCGAACTGCTGACCTTGAAGTTAGCAGCCCGATTCATGACCACTGGTATGTAAATCTTTGCTGAAACAGAAATCCTCATCTTTCTCCCATGAAGTTGCTGGTGTGCTCAAACTGGTGACCTTGAGGTTCACAGTCCAGTGGTTATCCTAGAGAGCCACTATGCCCCTAGCAACTGCTATATTATTGTTCAGTGTCATCAGTTGGTTTCAACTCGGAGCAACCCTGTAAAGGATTTCTGAGACTCTAGATCTTTGCAGGAGCAGAAAGCCTCATCTTTCTCCCACAGAACATCTGGTGTGCTGGAACTGCTGAACTTATAGTTCCCAGTCTAGTGCTTATTTTCTGTTGCTCCCCTGCTCCCCAACTTTGTTATGGCTCAGATTGTCCACATCTTGGTAATGAAACAAACTAAAAATAAATTTTAATTAAAAAATGTATTCACGAAAAGACCTACAGGAAAAATACAAAACAATAGAGGCAGATAGACTGTTACTACAAGAACAAACAACTTGCTTCCCCAGGAAACATTAAGGCAAGTGGTCGGGTCCCCTCAATGCAAACCCCCTTCCAAGACTAAGTCTCAACAGAAATACACACTCTGATTGGTGACCACATGCATCACCGATAGGGGGAAGTGGGATAAAAGCAGCAATGAAACGGCAAGCTAAGCCCTACAATGTTCAGTGGGCTTCTGTGGACCCAGACGGGGACCTGGTTGGCAAGCAGTGTGAGGAGACCTGGGGACTCTTGGGCCAAGAGTCAGTGGCATGGCCACGGAGGACTCGAGTGGAGAGTGGAACTACCGGCTGATGGGAAGAGAGGGTATGTGCACAAGAGCGCCCACACTTGCAGATGGTACCCACATGACCTGGACCGGATGAATGGATGATCAGAGCTCAACCAGGAGAAGAAAGAAGAGAAAAAAAAGAGTGATCTGATACAATTTGATGAACTTGACCTACACCTACAGATGCAGTGACTCAAAAGAAGGAACAAATTCTTATAGCAAGAAACATTCCCACCCCCTCCACACACAGAGTAGACAGAGATGGACAACTTGGACATTGGATACCCTAATTGGGGGCGAGGGGGGACTACAAAGGCAAGAAGTGACTGGCTTACAAGCTTTCAAAAAGGAACCTAGAGCTAGGGGGCATGGAGGAAGGCAGAATCTCCAGTGAGTACTATCCAATCTGTCTAGGCGGAGCTGATGAAATGAAATACAGATGGGTCACTTGTGATACTTTAGTGAATAATTGTTATCAGGACTGATTATGAGGGTTGGAAATGCAAAGGTAGACATTTTGTAGCAAGGAAGGGAGTGATTAATTCTCCAGTCTAGGAGCGGAGGTCTCTGGGACCATCAATGGAGAAGAGCCGAGAGTGGGACCCTACCCAGAGAAGCAGAGATGCCTGAGATAGAGACAGAGACGATGATGTGGAGTGATGAAGCGGCTGGGGACTTTGGATCCAGAGAGGGAGAGGGACTGTATGCTGAAGACTGGGGGGAGAGGGGGGGAGAGTAGGGAGTGGGTTTGTAGGGTATACCTTTTGGTCGGTTGATGATGCATGGAGGGGATTGGAACCATGGCAATGAAATGATACACGATGGAATGAATGTAAAACTAAAGTTCTCTCATGTAAACTATCATATAATTCACAATAAAACATTTTAAAAAATATGTTAGAACAATGTGTCTAGTGATTTTTCATTTAGGATGACTTAAAAAAAAATGTATTCATGGCCTTGTGCCCTTTGAACTAGTTGGTGGTCACAGAGCAAAAGAAATTGATCTTTCCCCTTCTTGTTTCATATAATAAAGTTAAACAGGTATTTCTAAGATGTTTATTTTAAAAAGATAGGGAGAAGATGGGTAGAAACCACAAAAGTGGCATAACTAATTGACTAGAAATTTAGGAGAATTGAATGTTAATGCAAACAGAAGGTCACAGGAATGAGAATACTCAAACCTTACATGTTTATTGCTATGACATTTTAGAGAGCAAGGGCTCATAGGTTTTCACAAGGAACGTGAAATCCATGATTGTTCCTAATTAATTATGGTATCAGGATATTCTTCTTTGTATTTTCTGGTTTGAACTTTGTTTTAACAACTCATTTCAAAGCAAAGTTTACTTAAACTGATTTGACGAGGCAGGACAGTGTTGCAAAGCATGCTCTGTCTCACACTGCAAAGGGAGTTGTGGAAGAAGTGGTACTGATATCTGGCAAGTAGGCATGGCCTCAGTCCTGGAAAGGGTTGGCAGAAGAGAGTAACAAAATATACGGCATCAAAAGATGTCCTTGTTCATTGCTACTGGTATGTCTTTGCTCTCAAGTTGCGTCGGATTCCTGGCAATCCCATGTGGCCAGAGTAGCACTGCTCTCCAGAGTTTTCAAGGTAGTGATCTTTCAGAAGCAGATCATCAGGCCTATCTTCAGGATCTGAAGTCCCTGTGCAACCCAGGGACTTCCCTGCTACATGGATAAATGAGTGTTTTAAGTTGAGCATTAGTTAGATCCTTTTTAGGTGGAGTCCAGAACATCTGTGATCAAATAGACTTCTGTTCTAAAGAACTCAAAAATTAGTTATCTGGACGTAGAGCTTTAAAAATGCTGATACATTTTGCTTCTATGATTATATCAACTTCCAAATGAAAGGTCGCTTAAAATTATTCAAAGTGTAATTTGCTTAGCGTACTTATTACATGCTTTGCTGATTTTAACATCACTGACACTGCCCGAGAAAATTGTTGCTGTTGTTGTCAAGTTCCACTGAGTGGATTCCAACTCATAGCGACTCTTTATGGGGTTTCTCAGAAGGGACTGGTGGGTTTTATCTGCTGACCTTGCAGTTCAAACCAAACTTGCAGTCTAGTGCTTATCCTACAATGCCACACCAGGATGAAATGGACTCTGGAAACTAGCCATATGTTGTTGTTGTTAAGTGCCATTGAGTCGGTTCTGATTCATAGTGACTGTATATAGTGTTTCCAAGGAGCAGCTGGTGGGTTTGAACTGCCAACCTGTGGTTTGCAGTCCAATGCTTATCCTACAGCACCACACCAGGACTCCAACTCTATCCATATAGGGCAGGGTTTTCACCCTAACCTGAAGTGCTTTGATTCTAATCTACTTCTTTGCATTTGCCTGCATGTAGTTCATAATAGAGTTGTGTGCTGATCAGGTCTAATGCTAACGAACCCCAGGTACAGGACATACTCGGTCCTTTTCATACATAACATGTGCATTAATTTCATCAATGGTTTAATTCAACATGTGCTGAATAAGGCACCCATTTCCCTGGTGTGGTGCTGTGGGATAAGCACCAGACTGCTGACCACAAGGTTACTAGTTCAAACCCACCTGCCACTCAGAAACCCTTCACAGAGTTGCTGTGAATTGGAACCGACTTGATGGCACTTAACAACAACAATTCTCTTAGAAATTCAAGTGAGGGTTGAATCATAATCCTTTGAAGGCAAGGCATAATTTAAATGGTGGGCCAAATTACCCTAGGAAATCTAGTCTCGTGTTTTTGTTGATGTTAAATGTCATCAAGTCAACCTTGTGGTGAGCAGGCCAATGTTTATCCTATAGCTCTGGTTTCTGTCAGGTAAAATTGAGCCTTTTGAAAACAAGGGAGAGGGAGCTAACAACTTTGTGGAACTGACTTCAAACTGTTTTGGTGCACATTTTAACATGCTAACACTCTCTTCTTCTCTATAGGAGTTTAGATATGATCGGTTTGTAGAAAACGGTAAGAAGAAAACCACCTTTTTCAAAAGAGGAAGAAAGCTGAATCATTACATAGTACCATTTGGATTGGGATCTTCCAAATGTCCAGGACGATATTTTGCAGTTTCTCAAGTGAAGCAGTTGTTGGTTGTACTTGTAACTTGCTTGGATTTAGAAATAATTGATGCTAAGCCTGTAAAACAGAGCAACGGTCGCCTATTGTTGGGTATTTCGTATCCAAGATCAGATGTTTTCTTTAAGTACAAGGTAAAATCATGGAGCTGAAAGTGCACTAACCCAAATGTCTTCAACTTATTTTTTCCCCTTAATTTCTACAAATGTAATTGTTTTTTGGTTGGTTGGTTGGTTTTAAAAGTGCCATTTCCATTTCTTGTAAGATCAATGCAGTTTATACTTGGTCACAAAGCCTCTTACAAAAGGAGGATGCAATGAAAGGAGACATCAAAATCAGCTTACTGACAAGGTTAAAATAGCCCTTTTTAGTTTCTACTTTCATATTTTCACCTGTCATAATAAATATACTTCCACAGCAGTATCTTTGATACTGTGAGATTTGTAAAGTTACTCAAATTCTTCTATAATATGTGAAAATACAGTTTATGTATTACTGGAGATTTGTGCAAGAAATGGACTCAGTCTAAAAAATTCCAAATTCTCAGAGAAAAAGGATAGTTTATTTCTGTGAGATGCATTGGATGAAAGTGTTTTCTTCATGTGTAACACCAACAATGTCTATATTGCCAGGATATAGTTGCATTAAATGAGTTTTGCAGTAGATTAAATGCTCAACTTCACTTCAATACTTAATCATCCATAAATAATTTTTATTACTTTGTATACTATATACCTCCACAGAAAACAAAATTCTTGTTATATAAGACTCCCATGTTCAAGTTAGTGACTGATAAGATTTAATATTTAAGAAAACACAAAACCTATTATATACTCAGCAGTGGACCTAGACATTATACTAGGTTTATTATATAAGTAAATGTTGAAATATAGCATTGATTGTCACATTTTGATTTTAGTATAAGGATTTTATGTCAATATTGCAATGAACCCTATCCTTATGCTTTCTTTCATATAAACTGAAAAACGAAATATTTTGTGTATGTGGTTACATCAGTGTTTGGACTTGTAGTTTATTTGTATTATTTTAATTGAACAGTTTTATTTGAAATGGCACAATGGCGTTTCCTGCCAATGACTCAGATTTCTAATACCAGATTATTAAGTGACTGGTTGACATCTGACAGAAATGATGACTGAGATACAAGTAGTCAAGGCAATGATAGAATCGTATATAATAATGCCACGTTAATTCACATATGTTCATTGGAATTTTTAATAATGTAGACATTTGCTAATTTTTAAAATAAATTCATTTTTATAATGTTATATAGTACTTACCATACATAGTAAGATTTTATAGCATTTCCTTTGTCCTTCCTAAATTTTTATTGTTGTGAAGTGTTGTCGAGTCAATTCCAACTCATAGCAACCCTGTATAGGGTTTCTGAGGAACAGCTGGTGGATTTGAACTGCCAACCTTGCAGTTCACAGTCCAGTGCTGATCCTACAGTGCCACACCAGGAGTCCTGAATTACACCCTCTAAAAGTTTGTTTGGTGAAAATCTGCTGGTGTAAACTTTGGTTTTTTTCCTTGGTTAAAGACATCTTTATTTTTGCCCTTGTTCTGGAAAGATAGCTTTGCTGGGTGTACAAGTATAGGTGGACAGTTATTTCCTCCCAACATTTTGAAGTTATTGTGTGTTCTTTACACTTTTCTGTTATTAAGCAGTCAGCAATCAGTCATTTTCATGGCAGACCATCACTGGGTTATGAACATTCGATTTACAGACAACTTGTATTTACACTTTAATGTCATCTAAATTTGCCTTCATTTTGAAATGATTGAATTAACTCATGTTGTTATTTTTAGGTGCCATAAAGTTGGTTCCATCTCATATCAACCCTATGTACAAGAGAACAAAACACTGCCCGATCCTGCCCCATCTTTACAATTGTTCCTCTGTTTGAAACTATTCTTGCAGCTACTATGTCAGTCCAACTCATTCTGAGTCTTTATATTTTTGGTGATTGATTCTTTGTTTTGTGAAGGATGATGTTCTTCTCCAGGAACTGGTTCCTCTTGATAGTATATCCAAAGTACATTAGATGAATGCTCTCCATCCTGACTTCTAAGGAGCATTTTAGCTGTACTTCTTCCAATACAGATTTTTTTTCCCTTTGGGCAGTCCTCGATATATTTAATACTCTTCACCAACACCAAAATTCATAGGCATCAATTCTTCTTTGGTAGTCTTTATTCATTGTCTAGCTGTCACATGCGTATGAGGTGATTGAAAATCCATGGCTTCGACCAGGTGCACCTAAGTTTTCAAAATAGCCTCCTTGCTTTCCAACACTTCAGAGGTATCTTTTGCAGCAGATTTCCCCAATGCAATAGGTCATTTGATTTCTTGATTGCTGCTTCCATTGATATTGATTGTGAATCCAAGTAAAGTAAAATTATTAACCACTTCAATCTTCTCTGCATTTATTGTAGTTTTGCTTATTGGTCCAGTTTTGAGGATTTTTGTTTTCTTTGTGTTGATGTGCAATCCATATCGAAGTCTTTGGTCTTATCAGTGAGGTCTTCAAGTCCTCTTCATAATTCAGAAAGCAAGGTTGTATCATCTACAGATTACAGGTTGTTAATGAGTCTTCCTCTAATCTTGATACCAAGTTCTTCATGTAGTCCAGCTTCTCAGATTATTTGCTCAGCATACAAATTGAGTAGGTGTGGTGAAAGGATACAACCCTGACACACCTTTTTAAATTTAAAACCAGGCAATATCCACTTGTTCTGTTCAAACAACTGTCCTTTGGTCTATGTCCAAGCTCCACATAAGCACAATTACATGTCCTGGAATTCGCAGTCTTCACAGTGGTATCCATAGTTTGTTATGTTCCACACAGTCGAGTGCCATTTCATAGTCTATAAAACACAAGCATCTTTCTGGTATTCTCTACTTTTAGCGACGATCCACCTAATATCAGCAATGATATCCCTCATTCAACATCCTCTTCTGAATCTGGCTTGAATTTCTGGCAGATCCCAGTTGATGTACCACTGAAACTATTTTTCAATTATGTTCAGCAAAATTTTACTTGTGTGTAATATTAATGAGATTGTTCAGTAATTCCACATTCTGTTGAATCACCTTTCTTTGGAATGGGCACAAATATAGATCTCTTCCAGTTGATTCATCTGACAGCTTCAGTGTGCTCAAGAATGAGTTGACTCTTTTATGGAAAACCAAGTGGTAAAAAAAAAATCAGATATTTTAATCAATAAAGCATTTATCTTTCAAGTATGCATATTTTCAGTAAATTGAATTATTGTTGGTTCACATACCTTTTTGTGTACAATTCTTTCTATATATGATAGAAAGGAGGTTAATGTGAAATGCTGATGATTTGAAACATTAATTGTCTTAGTTCCTCATTGCAATGTGTTAACCAACATTAGTAAGTAATCGTAGCCCCATTTTTCTCAATAGTCCTTCACTTTATCTAAGGAGCTTTAGAAGTGTTTGGGGATAATCTTTGGGCTGCTAACTGCAACACCATGGGTTCAAGCCCATCAGCTACTCAGCAGGAGAAAGGTGAGGCTGTGTGCTCCCAAAAAGCTTTACAGAGTCTCTATGATTCAGAGTTCACTTGATAGTAGAGGGTTTGACTTTGGTCTCTTTATCGAATGGTGTTCTCATCACATAATGTTCTAGCATGTTTTTTTTTGAACCTGAAACATAGGCTGCAGCTAAATACTTTCCCCAAGAATTTAATAAACATAATAAAACCATGGACACATAAGTCTTTTGTGAATTAAAAGAGTTTTGAACTGTGATTGAGCATTTTTGTAAACCTTCCTTCCTTACAAATAAAACTTTGAGATGATATCCAATTGTTATGGATTGAATTGTTTTTCTCCCAAAATATGTGTGAACTTGGATAGCCCATGATTCCCAGTATTGAGTGGTTGTCTTTATATTTTGTGATGTGCTGTGAACCCTAACCTCTCTATATTAATAGGAGTCCTGGTGTGGCGCTGTGGGATAAAGGACTGGACAGCAAGGTCTGGCAGTTCAAACTTCCCAGCCACTCCTTGGAAATCCTATGCAAGGTCACTACAACAACAGCAAGTATGTTAATGAGACTGTCTTAAGCCTCAGCCTTACAAGTCACGTTCTTGATTGAATCACACCTTTTATCTTGGAAAAGATGAAAGGAGAGATAAGAGACTTTGATATGACCTAGAAAGAAGAGCTAGAAAGAGAGCACATCATTTGGACCCAGACTAATTTGGCGTAGACTAATGACCACCTCCAAGGAGCTCTGGTAGCGTAGTGGTTACGAATCAGGCTGCGAACCTTAAGGTCAGCGGTTCAAAACTACCAGCCGCTCTGCGGGAGAAAGATGAGGCTTTCTACTCCCATAAAGATTTACACCCTCGGAAACCCTGTATAGGGTCGCTATGGGTCGGACCCGACTCGATGGCACTTAACAACAACAACAACAACAATGACCACCTCCAGCATTGTGTTTTTGAAACATTTCAATTGGTATTCCATCAATTCCTAGGACCTTGTTTTCACCTATGCCTTCAGTGCAGCTTAGACTTCTTCCTTCAGTACTATCAGCTCTTGATCATATACTACCTCCTTAAATGGTTGAACATAGACCAATTCTTTTTGGTACAGTGACTCTGTGAGTGATTGGAATGTGAAAGTTGGAAACAAAGGAGAAGGATCAGCAGTTAGAAAATGCAACCTTGGTGATAAAAATGATGCTGGAGATCACATGATAGAATTTTTCAAGACTAGTGAATTATTCATTGTAAATAACATAAATGGTGATTATACACATAGATTTAACCAAATGGAATACACAGGAATCAAATAGACTACATCTGTGGAAAGAGACTATGAAGAAACCCAATATCAGTCAAAATAAGGCTAGGGGCTGGTTCACTTCTATCCAAGTTCAAGCTGAGGCTGAAGAGAATTAAAACGAGTCCACCTGAGCCAAAGAATGACCTTGAAGACTCACCTTAGAGACTATTGAAAGAATGTTGCTGTTATTGTTAAGTGCCATAGAGTTGATTCAGACTCACAGTGACCTTGTATAGGGTTTCTGAGGAGTGACTGGTGAGTCTGAACTGCCAACCTTGCTGTTCAAACTGACCTTTCAGTCCA